ACAGTGTCCCCTCCTTAAAATGCCCCATTTGATACCTTGATTCTGCAAAAGAAGATTTGAATCTGGCCCAAAGACAGGTTTCCAGGGCTGGGAAGGGTTAAATTGTAACAGATGGATTAATATGGGAAGAGTTTTGTTCTAACCTGAGATAGTTAAATGAAGGCCTATTTGACCCAGTCAGTCTCAGAGAGGCACCTTTTTCACACGAGTTTTGAGATAGATAGATAGATAGATAGATAGATAGATAGATAGATAGATAGATAGATAGATAGTCTCATTTAATGACAAGGAGAAAAAGAATGGAAAAAATCAGTGGAAAAAATATTGTATTTTTTCTCACAAGCATCTTTGCCACAAGTTTCATGATCACTGATCACAGAAGGTGATATTGGCCTAAGGAGGCTTAGTCATCTTCCATTGGAGAGGTGAGCAAAGACAGGAAAAAGGGAGACACAGAAGTGGAAGTGAAAATTTTAGCAGCATAATTATTGTCATCCAAATTATCTTGGGGAATTTTTACTTTTAAAGCACCACAAAATTCTCTTGTTAATCCCGATCTGGCCTGATCTGATTCTGACTCTACATATCTGATTCTCGTTCTGCATATTGGTAAAACTGAATTCTGAGCTCAACATCTTAACTGTAACTTTTTGAAAAGAATATTCCAAGTTTGTATTATGGCAAATCATTATATTCTCCTTGGCAGCAGAGGAATTCAAGCAGCTGTGCTTTTGCAAACCAAAGGTGGTACGTTAAGTCTCTCTTTTCTAGCTAAATCATGCTGTATCTCTTGTTCACTTTTTTCCCATCTAATAATTGTGTGCACCTGCATGTCGAGCTGCATAGACAAGGCTGCTGCTGGATCAACTTCCTAAGCTAGTTGAGGTATCAACTTTCCAAGGGCACATGTAGTAGTAATGTTTTGGCATACCATCACATTGCTGCACATTTATTTGGTGGACCAGTAGGTCTGGTGCAACTATAAATAGATTAGGAAAACCATTTAAGGGGCTCTGTAGAATTCCTCTGTTATGATATGTGGGAAAGACCTTGGGAGACTGGGCCAAGAGATGCTGCCAAGAGAACGGTCAGATAAGAGACAGCACAGTCTGCAGCTGGATAGTGGGCGGAGCAAGAGGCTGTGAAGAGACCCTCCTTAGTTTCTCAGGCTGTAAAGGAGACAGGAGGAGAATTGTACTTTCAAGACTTGCAAGATTCTGTCAATGTAGCTTTACAATAAAGCAGATTTAGCTCATCTGGTTGTGATACCTATCTGGTTTACCCCGCAAGGCCAACATCCGCCCTGAAGCTTTCAAGTATAAAGAAGTGTTTCCTACTAGCAGTTGCATTCCTTCCAACATACAGCATATTTAAGTCAGCAGCTTGATCACCTAGGGGTACTATGGTAAGGCTAGTGCTGAGAAGCGTTGCTTTTATACTAACAAATTTATAATTTAAAAACCTGCAAAAAAAGTCCTCTCTTTTTTCCTCTGAAGAATAACTTTGCTAAAGTCTGGCATGGAGCTATAAAATACAGGCAGTCCTCATTTAGCAACCACGAGTGGGACTGGCAACTTGGTCATTAAGCAAAGCAGTCACTAAGTGAAACGACAACTGTGCTTATGATCTTACTTCAGCTTTCCTTTGCTTTATAGACCCATGAAGGTTGTAAATGCAAGGATTGGTCATAAAGTTACTTTTTATCTCTGTAGTAACTTTGAACGGTCGCTGTATGAGGCACTCGCTAAACAATGACTACCTGTAATCTATTGCCTATGAAATTGGATACTTCAATCAACTTACTAGGCTCCAGTCCTAAGTGTGCTTTTAATGTATATTTACTTCTTGGTATATACAGTACACTTCAAATCAGCTTCACTTTTCTAGAATGCATCTGCATTTGATGTCCTACCCATTGATCAGCATTACTTTTATTTGTATTTTCAAAAAAGTGTGGGCAAATGGAAACCATTATGCCTTCTAAACATTCCAGTAATTGGGCCATCATGATTTTTTTCCCTTGTTTATTTTGTTCAGTACAGTGGTACCTCTACTTATGAACTTAATCCGTTCCGTGACTCTGATCGGAAGTTGAGTTGGTCGCAAGTCGAAGTAAATTTTCCCATAAGGTTCAATGTAATTACCGTTAATCCGTTCCGGCGTCCATGGACCATGCATCAGGGGTGGAAAAACGGCTGCTGACCACGCGGCAGGGCAGAAAAAATGGCCGCGTACCGCGTGTCAGGGGCGGAAAAACGGCCACGGACCACATGGAACGGGCGGAAAACGGCCGTGGACCACGTGGAACGGGCAGAAAAATGGCCGTGGACCACGTGGAATGGGCGGGAAATGGCCGCGGACCACGTGGAATGGGCAGAAAAATGGCCACGGACCACGTGGAATGGGCGGAAAACCGCCGCGGACCACGTGGAACGGGTGGAGAACAGCCACAGACCACGTGGAACGGGCGGAAAAATGGCCGCGGACCACATTCAACAGGCGGAAAATGGCTGCAGACCACGTGGCACGGGCGGAAAAATGGCCGTGGACCACACGGCACGGGTAGAAAATGGCTCGTAAGTCGAGGCGAGTTTGTAAGTAGAGGTAAATTTTTGGGGCCGGAGC